CCCTTCGAAAAAATCATGCAAGGAAAATGATAAGTCCATAGGTACAGTCTAGTGATCTTGAGGCGACAAAACAAGTTAATAACAGGTAGTTTATGTCAACATGCCAAGCATGGCTGCTTCTCAGACAACCCAACTCTGTTTAAGGCTAGAATGGGACATTTATTAAAAACACTAGCAAAGTCTGTCAAAGTGAGACTTTCATATCCATAATTCCTACCATCTGTAACATCTTATGTTACATAAGATCCCCAATTACCAGTAGCAGTGTTAATCCATCATCTGTCCTGAATATTTTTAGATGTTCTTTATACATTTTTACTTAGCTCTCCTTTCTGTTTTTGTAAGTATATGTTCTTTACTTGCCATAATTAATTTTATGCTGACTTTATCATATCAGGGGACTATCCAAAATCCTTTGGGAATAATTTTTCAGAAGTAGTATAGGGTGTAATAACAAGTTATATTGAAACCAAATTAAAAAAATGACAAGTCTCTTAATTAAGGAGAGGAAATCCAGTTTTCCTCTCCCATCATATAATATTACAAATAATAATTTCTTACAGGGTTATTAATTCTACCTAGATAAGAAGCCACTCAATAAGTCTGTGGTATTATTTTTAATAATGGGAAAGAAAAGAATATATTTTCAGGAAATTACTAATGCTAATGGTTTCAGAATGCATCTCTTCTATCAATTCTTAATCAGTACTAGAGTTATTTACTCTTCAAGTTCCAATTGGACATAAAAAAACAACTCTGAGTCAAATAAATATAAATTATTTACCATTTGTTAAATAAGGAGGTGTAGAACTGTACCTGTTTCTTTGGAAATGGTAATAATATCACATGTCCCTAAACAGAATCATGTGCCTTGTGAGGTATTGAGCTTCTCCTTGATACAAATCTAGCAGCAAAGACTAGATAGCATACTGCAAACAGGCTTAAAAGACAGAACTTATTTTTGGCACTTTACAAATGGAGATGCTTTTGTGTGTAATATACAGTACGAGTCCCCCAACCAGAACCCCCAGGCCTACCTGTGACATCACTAGAGGTTGTGGTGGATGGTTACCATGTGCATTGTCAGTGGTCTGTCTACCCAGGAGCCAAATCTCCCCACTTTTCTGTTTCCTGGCATCTATGCTTCCATGCACACACACACACACACACACACAAACACACACACACACACACACACACACACACACACAAAGAGACAAATCATGTATCTGTTTAATAGAGGTATAAAAAGAAGAAATATAAATTTAAAAAATTCATTCAAAGGAAATGGATATATCCACAGGTAAAAAGAAAATATTGAAAATTAAAAGACAATGATTTGTAGAAGTTTTTGCTAAGTATTTCTAAATGTGGATAAAATGTATTCTTTTCTATGAACACATAAACTACTAAAAACCAAGAGATGGAATCAATGGAATTGCGATAGATAAGAATGATATTGGGGATGGGAGGGCAATACATGGGGGGAGGGGGATTTTACTTTGTGAGGGTGAAAAGGATAACTATTGCATTGTTCTGTACACCTGAAACTAACAATAAAAAAAATAAAATAAAAAAATAAAAACCAAAAGAAATGCATAGTGTACATGAACAAGGCTCACAAAGAAGTCAAGAATATTGACTGGGAATATCTCCCTAAAACTGTGGACTGAAATGGTTTGTTAAGCAATTTGTTTCAGATCTTCAAACAACATATAATTCTTTAGTTTTTTAAAAGTTTGAGTCCACTCTCATCACTTTTATTTAACATTGCATTAAAGGTTTTAAGTAGTATTATAGGGCAAGAAGAAGAAATAAAAGGGATTCAGGTTGATAAAGAAAAAGTAAAATTGTCTTTATTTTCAGATAGTCTATGTTAAACATTTTATAAAATCAAAGAAGACCTAACTAAATGAGGACATTTACAATATTCTTGGATCATAAGATTTAGTGCTGTTAACATGCTCATTCTCCTAAATTAATGTGTAAATTCAAAGAAATCCCAAGAAAACCCCAGCAAGATTTTTTTTCAGTAGAAACCAACAAGCTGATTCAAATATTCCGATGGAAATGAAAGGACTAGACTAGCCAAAATTAATTTTTAAAAGAACAAAAGTGATTTTTTGTTTATAGAACACCAATGAACACAACTGAGAATATATTTCAGGAAGCTTGCTAAAAGCGGTAGTACGGTACAGACATTGTCAGATATATATCACAGAAAGCTGCGTGCAGGCTGTGTAGAGAACGGATTTAGAGGAAGGCGAGAGTAAAGTCTGAGTGATCTAAGGAAGAGATAATGAAGCTTGGAGAAAAGAAAGGAAAACAAACTGGGGAAATTTATAGTTTTTGAGAGATAGATAGAAAGAATATTCGTTAGGTCTCAACGATCAGCTGGAGGAGTAGGGGTAAAGAAGAAGGAAGACTTGTTCCTACGACTTTGGCTTGACTCTAAAGACATTGTGAAAATGAAAATGCGAGACGATGCCTGGGCCTTTCCAGAACTGTTTTCACCCCATGTTAATGCGACATTCAGAAATCCCGGGACAAAGAAAAAATGCTTTCCCAGCTACCTAACAACTTTATTTTTGGAACGAACGCATTATCTTTGATTAGCAGAGTTCTAGAGACAAAATAGGGTTTATAGGTTCCGGAATAAATGGTTGTGGGCTGTTAGGGCGCACGCCTAGATCGCTATCCAAGGTGCTGAATTGATTTGGCTAGTGATCGGAAGCTCTGCTTGTGCTGCTCTTCTGCCTGTGCCTCTGCTGGAGGAGCAGCCTTGTCCCAGACTGAGCAAGGCTTCATCTGACTAGCATGCCTGCCCTTGCGAGGACTAGCCAGCTCAGACTTTTGATCAAGACAACAGCCTGATTTCTCAGCTGGACTCCTGGCAGATGAGCTGCAAGCTGCAAGCTCCCTGTGTCCATGAAGGCTAAAAATATCCCGACAGGTAGGTAACTATTTCCTCCGGGAGTAAAACCAACCATCCAGAAGAGTAGAAAATTTGTTATTGTGGAGGGTTGTGAGCTGTACAAATTAATTCTTAGGGTTTCATTTGAGGGCCCTGAAATTTCCACTTTGCAGGCAGCTTCTATTTGCCACCAGCATATGTTGAACTGGTTCCTCTAAGGGACACATTTTGTGCTCGCAGGAACTTAAAATCTAGTGAAATAAGCAAACACATGATTAAAAATACTGCACAGTGGCTTATATTTAGCATCAAATAAGTTAAATACAGTAGGGACCAAGAAAAGGGAGGATTAACATGGACTGCAATAGTTAGGGAAACCTTCATGGAGGAAGGAGAGTAAGATCTGGGCCTTGATGTAGTTTAGGTAGACAGTGAGGAGGAGACTGTGTATTAATGACAGCATCATGGGAGTGGAAATGCCCACGGCACATTATGGAGATAATAAGTACTCACCTGGTTCAACCTGGAGCTCTCTATCCTTTCATCCCCCTGCCTACATTTCCATATAACACCACCACCATTTCACCCCTCCCACAATGATTACATTATTTCTTCCATTCAAAATATGTCTTTCATACAAAATTCTTTCAAGTATTTCTTTCAAACATTTGGAAGAAAATTTCATAGCTATTACCAAGTACTTTTGGTATTTTCTAGAGACATGCCTCTTCAAGGTGTAAGGAACCTTTTACGACTCCTGCCCCTCAAGTCACAGCATTGAAGACGTCAGCTCTTTGGTGGCTTAGGAATGGTAAATAAAATACAACTCCTGACTTGAAACAAAACCTGTCATGGTGCAAACAAGGACAATTAAAAAATCAACAGAAAGTGCAGGCAGAGAGAAGGAGGAATCTGGAAATGTGCTATTTACTATTTGATAGGAAAAACTGGATGATTTCATAGAGAAAAGGCTTTAAGTGAGCTTTTAAGAATTTTCAGCATGAAAGACTCTTTTTTTCCAAAATTCTGGGACTTATCTATAATCCCACTTATCACAATTTCAGAGGTATTCTGATGGAGGCATTTTGCAAAAGGTAATTTCAGAACATCCATCTCTAACACTTTCAGGATCTCTAAACTTTGCATAAGACAAAACAGGCAAGAGAAGAGCTACAGAAGAAAAATACAGTCTCAGGAACTTGATGTGACCAGGGCAGAAAAGCTCTTCATTGCAGTTCGACTTCTGAGCTGAAGCAGACAGAATGGCCGAGATGCGTCATTATTTACGAAGAGGTATCACATAGGTACGATCAGCAGGAGTTTTCTACTAATAGAGATCGGGATTTTGGCATTGGATAGACTAATGGATTTAATGGATATGAATAGTTTAAGTAAATTAATCACTATTATTTAGTATTATCTAATCAGTCACTTAATTTATGATGAGTAAGTATACTACAGTCCTTTCAAACAGCAAACACCTGGGAATTCTACCTACTCGTTGATTACCCAAAGCATGAAATCAGAGGGAAATAGAAATTGCAGTATTCACCAGGTTTCGTGAATGGGGCCAGCTGCATTCCTCATCCCCATTCTTCTAAGAGACCTCTGGTTAAAAATCAACGTTTTGGCTGGTATGAAGGGTATTCAATACTTCACTAGCCTTCTTCCAATCACACATATATTTTACTCCTCATTTTTTCCTGTCTTTGACTTTCAACACTCATTTATTTCTCTCTCTCTCTCTCCCCCCTCTCCTCTCCTCGCCTTCCAGCTCTTCACTTATAATTTCACCATATGTCAATTTACAGAAACTTTTCCATTCCTATTCATTTCTCTTTATATTTTGAATAAGGGCATCATGGAAGGACTCCTGGGGACTCGGATCTATTGAGAATATACACAATTAGGTCTCAGATGATCAGCTTAAAAGGTGTAGGCATTAAAAGTAATGCTCTAGAACAGTTTCAATGTTCAATAGTTCAGAGAATAGTTTTAGAACTAAGATTGCCTGGAAAATGTACTTACGTGAAGTAGGTTATTTGCTGATTTTGCCAAATCTGTAAAGTACTACTGTACTCAAAAGAATGGTTGAAAGGGCATTTATTAGGGTTTCTCAGCCTCCTTGGACAAGTAGGCCTCATGCATTTCTAGATATCAATCATGTCTGTTTATTTTATGCATTTTTTCTAACGAAGAGTCTTTGCTGAATACAAAAAGCAGTACATTTTGAGTATTTCATGTTGTATATAAAGAAACTGAGGCATAGGAAGGTCAAAGGCAGATAGTATGATTTCCTGGTCCCCAGAACAGTTGCTTAGCAAACACCTATGTTTAGCATGTATCCATGATCATGTGCTTATCACCTACTCAGCCTTGAACATCATATAAAATAGAGGTGTATTTTTAAATATATGTACCAAACTTTAATTTTCATTTCACACCCAAAACTTTTGTACAAAAAGAGGCAAAGCAGGCAAAAAAAAAATTACAATGACTTTAGCAAAAAACGTATGACAACTTTAAAACAGCATTGTGTATGCAACAGCCTTTATAAATGTAGTGGGACAATTGAGATCCAAAGTGTTTGTTTCTTGAAGATAAAATTCCAATATTTATTATTAACATCTAGAAAAACGCACAGCTGTCTAGCATACAAGATTGAATGAGAAGTCTCTGAATTCTACTGAACAAGGATCCAAAAATTAAATAGGTTTCATTTTTATTTTGAGAAAGCATAAAATTATTTTTAATTAAATGTGACGATGTATCAAAAATTTCAGTTCACCATTAATATCTTGATATAATGGTGATGACTAGGGGCAAAGGTTGATGAAGCATGATATTAACTAAAAGTTCAAATACAGTATTCAGGACTCTTTTTGGTTGTTAATGAACACCCCAGCCAGAATGAGTCATCACAATTCAAACATTCGTTGCCATTTTTGTTTTTACTTCGAATTCCTCGTGGCACATGAAAGGTTTCTAAGAACAAAGCTATAATGCCAAAATAGCAGTGCATCTGAGAAATGTAATGTCCACCTTGTTGCTTGCCCAACAATAAATATCCAAGTCATGGAAAATACTGTTTATTTGAAAACTATGAGACATCAAATATGAAATATAGTGAACATTATATTAACATGGACGCTGCCGCTAGCACTTTCCTCTGAACCACCCATGGGTGTTGGACACATGTGCATGCAGCACAAAAGAACATGATTGTTCAAGACTCCTGATGCCTACAGGACAGTCTGTTGAAAGAATGTGTCTCCCACAACAGCTCTGGAGTGGACCCAAGGTCCCTCACCTGTTAGTGATCACAGACATTCAGTGTACCTGTCCGGCTGATAATCAGAGCCAACAGTCCAGACCCCGGGCTTCTGAGAATCCACGTCCAGGTGAGGTGGCTTTCAGACAAGATGCCCTGGCTAAATTGGGGCAGGCCAGCAGCCCCTCCATTGTGTTTGGTCCCGTTTGATAGAAAGACTAATTAAAAGTTATAAACATGCTCATCTATTCTCTCTGCAAGTCCATTCCTCTATGCAAGACTTAGTGTCCTCACCCGATACAGGAAGAACATGGACCCAGTGATGATAAACATTCAGTGCCTCTGTATTTCTCTAGTCTTGACAGTTGTTGCCCAAGGACGACATGTGGCTGCTGAATAGAAGAACGTTTAAGATGAATATTTAATGAATGAGTTCGCCCAGCGTTAATCCTGTTTTCTGACTTCCTCTGGGATTTTAGAATCCCTAGGTTTGAAAAGGTCTTGAAGCCACTGAGTGCATTTCTGTTCTGATGCAAGAACCCCTCCTCCCCCTCCCCCTCCCCCCCCCACAAGCAGCTGTACTGGTTCAGCTTGAAAAGCTTTAAGGAAAAGGTCTTTCCTCTAGCTGTTGACTGGCATTTAAGATACAGACGGTGGAACCTGTTCTGCCACTGGACTGGATTTCTTTGTTAAAAACAAAACAAAACAAATGTATGACTCCCCTTTTCTTGGAGGACTCAAGGGAATTCTATCTGGCCACTAACACCTGGAAAGCAATGGTGTGACAGCTCATGTCTTGGGACATTGTGAATGATGCCAAACTCTGATGTACCCAGACCTAACTTCTGGAATTATCTTTCACTGGGTACCTCTTCCCATCTATCAGAAATAGGTAGATAATTATGTAGTCCAGACTGAGGAGTTATTTTAAAGTATCCAGTCTCATCCCATAATATGTATGCATAGGCCATATGGTAAAAAAGAAAGAGCATGGAATCAGGAGTGAGGTATCCTGGGTTCTAGGCCAACATTAGGTTGGGCGAAGTGGAAGGGGGGTGTCCTGTTTGACTTCATCCTCTGTCTTTTTCCACTGGAGATTAGATTTGCAAGATTCCATTTTGAGCTTTGATCTGCAGACAGAATGCTTCTAGGCTTTGTCATGTCATTAATCATCATGATAAGGTGGGGTGATGCTTACTGGACTCTCCTTACTAAGGAAGAACATAGGAGTCAGTCATTTTAATGACTCATAGCCTTATAGGGCTCTTGGAGATTATCTGTTTCCACTGCCCATTTTATGGGTGAGAAAGGGAAGACACAGAGCGCTTAGGTGAATGTCCCAAGATCCCGCTGAGAGTCAGTAGGGCTAGCACTGAATGCAGGAGCTCCCATCAGGCTTTACAAGTTGCAACAAGCTAGCAACGGGGTCAGGAAGCAGCGGCCTTTTAAATAAATCCCAGGTAACCAGAAGACACAGATGCTTTTCTCCCTCCAAACCGGCCCCCGCCCCCAGTTTTCTGGTAATCAATGAAGTGCCCTAGACCTCTTAGGAGGGGCCATGTGCCCAGCACTCTGCAAACAACTGTAATATCAGCAAACTTACCCACGATTTCAAAGCCAGAGCCCCATTCCTTGCCCCTGTGAACACAGAGGTGAAGCAGAGGGATGACGGTCCTGTTGCCTGGGTGCCCCTCTTCCTCCCAACTTGTCCCCCACTTCCAAGACAACCACCTTCATTAGCCCACCTATGGCAGCACACCTATCTATTGTTGCTTCTCTCCCACGAACTAACTCAAACATAGGTGATTTTCCTCTTGTAAAATTGAAAGGGAACTTAAGAGGAATATAAATCTAGACAGAAAGGGAATATGCTGATGAATAAAATACGTGCCAACAGAAAGGCTGCACGTGTGGCTCGCAATCTGAGGGAAGTGACGGGGTGTGTTGAATTCAAAACACTTGGGTTGGAGTCTCCACATGCATTTGTCTTTTCTTGGATTCCTCTCTCTCCCTCTGCCAGGGTAACAGTTATGTTTCTTATAGCTGAGCTGACACAGGAAATCAAATACTACTTTGTGTTTCTATAACTATACTTCCCAGAGAGATTACACACCTAGAAGTAAAACAATACCACAAACTATTAGCGATTTCTGATTGCTACAGGTGTAGTTAAGGGACTCCAGTAGCGAATGTCAAAGTCTCCAAATTTTGCCTTTGCAGAAGGCAGTGTTGTTTTAGACATCAAAGGTAAGGCTCTCGAGTCAATTTATGCACTGCTGGGTTGAGTCAGTCAAGATACAAATTAAGGTCCATATATTTCAGTGACAAGAAGGAAACGGTTATGTAAATACACAAGTATTAACATCAATCTGTATTAAATTATGTAAACATATACATCTTCTGAGGTCAGTACATAGATCCTCTTCATTGAGCAGAGCCTTACTGAAGCATTGCTCGAATCTGTTTGGAAGTCGATTCATCATTCAAGTGCTTTGTAGTGAACCTGGATGGAGAGAAAATTATGGAGTTCAGTGTGTAAATAGTGTTCTGTGAAAGCTTCGATAATGATGTACCAGCCCATCTTGGGAGACACGGTTGAGATTTATAAATCAAACTTAGTCTTGGTTCTTTAGACAGAGAGCCACATTTCAATGCCTAGAGTATTCTCAGGCAGATTGAATAGTTGATTCTTCCTTCCAAAGGAATTTTGTATTATGGTTATTAAACAAGTAGATCAAATAATCAAATAATTACACAGAGGAAATACAAGACATCTCATTTTCCAAGGAGGGAGACTTCACATTATTGAGTGCAGCATCTTGGCCATCTAAGCTACCCCTGTGAAGCCATGAATCTCAAAATATGGTTTGCATAGCAGCGCTACCCAACACTTAAACATTTATGGTCTTCTGTTTTCCTGGAAGCGCTTATCCCTATTGCCACCACAAGGGGGAACAAATGCAGGTGAACAAACCAAAAAGAAGGGATGCAATCTGCATCCTCTCATTTCCCTGTTGTAGAAAGAGTTTAGGAAAAGGAAGGAAAGGAGAATTAACATGTAATACAACCTTACCATGTCCCAGGTTCTCTTTCATTTCACTCATACTACCTCTTTGCAGGAGGTTCTTTGCCTCCGTTTTACAGATGACAAAACTGAGATTCAGAGAGGGTCAATGACCCATTCTTGATGACAAAGATGGCAATGCATGATTTGTGAACAACTTGTGACTTCTGACTTGGACCCAGGTCTGGCTGCCCCCAAAGCCTGTGCACTCTCACTTTATCACAGAGCCTACAGTGACACAAATGCCAGCACTCACAGGGGACCCACAGCCCACCACAGTGCTCTGCTCTCCAAGTCTTGCTTCACTGAATAAAGCTGGGGAGTTCAAAAGCTTCAGTAGCTGAAGTCTTCTTACTGAGTATGGAAAGCCAGCTTTCTGAGAGATGGCATGACTGGAGAAAATGTTGGTTGACCCACAGATTCTGGAAAGCTCTAATACTAATGCTACGTCTGCTCTGAAGAATGATGACTTAGAAGTGCCACCAAACAGGATCAATCTCAGTGTCTAGTTTATTCATCTCATGTGCATCTCAGTTTCTTCACTTATTAAATGGGGATAATAGATCAGCCTTCCTTCTTTGAGTTGTGATGATTAAATGGGACAATGTGGAGCAGAAAACGTAAGTGTTGTACATAGGTAGAAGATTATTGATCCATTCCACTTATATTATTGAATGCTTACTGCATGCACAGCGTTGAGGGGAATCAAAGATGAATGAGACTGCAGGGACGATAAACCTTTCAGACTGCAATCCCGTATTGGAATGGCTTACGCTTGGTATGATTTGACAAATTCCTGTAGATGTGTCACAGCTAAAAAAACAAGGCTCTCTTCCTTGAAATGGACCAAGACATGTATTCTTGGGAAGAGAGGCAGGCGTGGGTGTCTACACAATGGGGAGCAGGGTTCTCAGTATTGGCAGCTGCATAGATGAGGGAGCTTCTGAACAAACATACAAATGCCAAATGGGTGCTTGAACCCCCAACCGAGAGTTTCTAATTCATGCGGTCTGGGTGGACCCTAAGCATCCGTGTTTTCATAAACTACCCACATAATTCTCAAGTGCAGACAGGTTTGGGGACCACTGGTGAAGGGGGAAGCGAGACCTGGGAAGCTACTTCATCTGATGAGGCCCTACTCTTACGGTTACAACCACAAAGCAGTGTGACCTGCACTTTGCCCATGACCTGCGGGGTCACCCAGGCCCAGGTTTAGGTCCGAGTTTGGCCATCAGCTATGAGAATTTTGGCAAGTTATTTAACTTCTCTAAATCTCAGTCTTCCATCTGTAAAAAGGAGATGATAAAAGTGGTGCTGACCTCAACAGGTTGTTGAGAGACTAAATATGTTAAAACACACAAGGAGTGAAGCCTGGTGTTCCAGCCCTCAGTCCATTAGGACAGCATCTAAATCTGCAATGGATCTGAAGGGTTGGCTCCCCTGGCAGGTCCACCACAGGCTCACCTGAGGGCATTCAGCAGCCCCTCCACACTGTCCGGGGCCTGTTCCTTCAAAACCTTTATGCAGCCTTTCATCTAGGAGGAGAAAGCACAACATTTGTTAATATCCTAGTAAGTCTGTCCAATGACATCTGTCCATTGTGACATCTGTCCATACTAATATCACATTCTTTTTGCCCGCAGAAATCAAACATAGAAATGATCAAGAGACCTTCCTACCCCATCAGGCCAGTGAGTTTCTCCTCTGGGCTTCTAGAAGGTTCTATATCAGTTTTGATAGTATATTGCAATGGAATATTTTCCATATCTGGCATTTGGGGACAGAGATTTGAGCCTCTGATCTTGTTTTATGCTCCAGAGCCAAGTGCAGGGCTTTTCCTCCAGCAGGTGCTCAGTGGAAAGCGACTGAATGGATTACAAACCTGATAATTTTATGCCACCCCTCTGCCTGGAATGCTTCCCCTCCTTTAGCTGTTTGACTGGCAAACTCTAAACAAGAGTTTTCAGACTCACTTGAAAATCACCAATGCCAGAAAGCCTCTTCTGACTGCTTTACCTTCACCAGGTAGAAATAACCAAAACTTCTTTGTATTTTCTGGCATTTATCAGAGAACCTTGGAGACTGTAGGGCCCAGATAACTCCCCCTAGACCAGGAGAGGATTGGTGAAGAACAGCGTGGAGGCAGGTTGACGGGGTTGTATCCATGCTTGCTTGTTGAGTGTCCTCATGAACTTAGGAAAGTGTCTTAGCTTTTTGTGACCTTGGACTATAGTTCATTCATAATTTGGGAAGATCATGACAACTAAATTTATATAGATCACAATATATTATGCACATCTTAGATTTTATTTATTTATTTTTTATAAAGGAAGAACCTTTCTGCAAACAATGAAGTCACTCATTTTAAACTCACATGTTCATGCACTATATTAGATTGGGGTACATTAAGGATCTCTTTTATAATGGTCACCTATAAACATTTTCTGTGGGTATACTTCTGGGATGTCAGAAGTTTTCCTTAAAGACCTGACAAACTCTGATAGATTGATGGAGGCAGCCAAGGCACAGGGGTGTGAATCATTCGGGGTCATGTATAGGCTCATCATGAAAGAATGTCATGGTGAACCAGAGATGTCAATCATGAGTGCAAGATGGGTTCAAGCTCAGAGATGCAGAGATTTGGTCCCTCTCCCAATGGAGCTCCTAGTCTAGTGGGAGAAGAGAGACAAATAGCTCACCATTATAGTGTGATATCTGCTCTTGTAAAAACATGTCAAAGGAGCAATGGGAACATGGATTAGAAAGGGGCGAAAGCACCCTTTGGGAATTTCTAGCTCTGTTTTGCTCTGATTAAAGTCTTGGGTATGAATAATAAGATGTGGTCAGGGATGTAGCCAGGGCCAGATTCAATGTGGGTTTAATAGTATGTTAGGGAGTTAGGGGCTTTTATCTATAGAAAACACCTCGATAGGTGTTAAACAACCCAGCAACGTGACTATATGGACATGGGCCAGAGGAAGCCAGACTGGAGATAGGAGGACCAGTGAGGGCCCCTGAGGGTGTGGAGTGTGAGATTAGCAGTGAGCATGGGGAATCAGGAGATATGGGAGGATTCATCTGAGGTCCAGTCCTTAAGACTCGGTGGCTTGACAAGACATGGGGGTGAAAAGGAGAGAAGAAGACGATTTCTAGATCCTAAGAGACAATTCCAGGCTTCTGACTTTGAGACTACGTTGGAAGAAGGTGAAATACTAGAAACAAGAATGCAGGAGGAGGAACAGCTTTGTGGGCCAAGGATGACCTTTGATTTGAGGATGGCCATGTTTCAGGTATCAGAGGTGAGTCTGGAATTCTGGGTACAGTTGGGGCTAGCGACCGGGCTTATGGAGTGACTCCTTATTGGATCACTCCATACAATTCTAAGGAAATCAGGTGAAAGTGCCATCTCATTCTAGTCTGTTTTTCCTGGCACCCAAGAATAGAATCTATTCTCTCAATGACATGTACCCCGCCTGGGCCTCGGCAATTTTGCTCTGATTATTCCTTCTGCCTGAGAATTTTCCTTCTTTCTGCCCATTTGGTAAAATCCTATCCCTTCTTCAAAGTTTACCTCAAAGGGTGATGGTCCACCATCACCATCTGTCTCTGCCTCTAAGCAGAGTGAGTGTCTCCCTCACCCGGGTTTCTAGAGCTCACTGCACATCTATTTTGCACTCCAGTGTATGTTCTTCATAAATGCATAAATTGGAACAGTACCAATTTCAGGGCCTCATAGGTCAATATTTGTTTTTTCACAGTGGATGCCGATACCCTAAGGATTTATAAACCCAGGGCATGTAACTGCTGGCTTAGAAGCAGACTAGAAGGGGGCCCTTTATGTCATCAGAGAAGATGGCCCATCAAACGCATGCTGTGTTTGGTAAACCCCAAACTTTCTTAGAGATACATATACTTCAATATGAATAAGCCTTCCTTAGAGGCCTCCATGAACAAATAGGCTTCATCAAGACGATGCATTGTTTGATTTACCATTATGTAATGTTCACGACCTCAACAGAAAGACTCAGTAAATGATACGCAAGGACAAGCTTTTTAAAGGTAATGGCTATAAGGAATAACGGTACCTAGTGTATTTTTAAGTATTGACTCTGTGACAAGTTAACAAATGCCTATGGTAAATGAGGATGTCCTATGAGTGAGTACCAGGTAATAAACTCAATCCATATTCAAATGATATTCACGGAGTTGTTAATAGAGTTATTTATACTCAGTCTATAGTATAAAAATGTTAAAGCCTCACAAAGAACACAGTAAAAATACTTATTGGTATGCAAAATTTCCATAATATATTGTTATAGAAATTAAATGTCTTTTAAAAATAAAATTTATAGCAGGGTGTTAATTTGGTAACTATGTACAACATCTACACGCTAACATGAATATAAACAGAAAGGAAGTATATATGCTAACATATTGACAGTGGTCATCTGTCTATTATCTGACTACAGGTAAATTTAATTTTCTGTATTTTGATTTCCTGTATTTTGTAAAATTTTTCAGACTAAATATTTATTTTCTTGGTAATTTGAAATAAATTATATTAAAAATAATGAAGACTCTGTGAAGAACCATGACTAGTTGTGCTAGGAAGCCAGAACCTCAAAATGAGTAATTCAGGTTGCATTTTTAATTGATAAACGTTCTTACGCTCTGCAGACTCACGGCCCCTCTGGGCATGTAGACTTTCTGTCTGCACAGGACTGAAGCGTCAAAGATGTTGTTCTGTCCAGATGAATGAGCATAGTGCGCCACCTAAACTCAGCCGTGTCAGATAAGTTAGTACCAAGAGGTCCTCTTCTGTACTTAAGAGGCTTTAAATTACTACCTGGGATACACTACTGGGGGATGCTGCAGGCAAGTGCTGGGCTAAGAGAAGGCACGCGCTATCCCATTCTCAATTGGAAATCACTTGCACGCCAAAATCATTTGTTTGCCAATTATATTCATTCATTCATTCATTCAGTCAGCAAGTGCTCCATCTAGCATTTATTTATTTATAATAGTACCCATGCTTTATGTGCCAAAGACACTGCTAGGCACTAACTCAGACATTAGGTGTATAGATAATGGTCTCTGCTCTTGTCAACAAACTAGAAGTCTGTGAGGGAGTTGGAAAATCCAATATGGTAGGTGCTCTGGGGGCCAGAGGAGAAGGAAGGCCCTCATCCATGCAGGACACAGGATGAAGGGACATTTGCGGAGTGTCTTAAAGGAATCCACCCATCAGAGAAGAGGAAGGGATTTCTGGGCAGGGAAAAGGGCTCAAGCATGTTCCAATGACAAGAAAACACATGGGTATCAGGTGGAGTAACTGGTAAGGGTGGCAGTAAAGAAAGTTGGAATGTTGTTTTGGGATTTGACCATGGTGTTTTGTAATCCAGTATTTCCTAATGCTTTTCACATTAAGATGCATATAATGTATTAAAATACATTTATATGGCACTGGGTAAATGGAAGGGGGAGACAGTTCATCTGTTCAGCTCCTACATGCTGAGGGGATCAGCGCCTCCATGTTCCTGCAAAGTGTTTGAGGTTGGGTGTTTTACTGTAAGTGCATGAAAAATACTAGACTTCTTGCTATGAGGAGAGCTGCCACGTGGGGCCTGCACCTTGGAGAGATCACTCTCAGCAGAAGATGGAGGAGAGACAGACAGAAAAGCAAAGTCTGTTGGGCAGCATTTGTGAACTCTCACTTGGAAAGCACATTTATGACTATCCTTACATCGATTTTGGACGTCTTGCAGAAAGCTCCCACAGGGTGGACGTGGTCGTAGAGGATGATGACCCCAACCATCACCCTCATGCAGAACATCAGTGTTTCTTCGCTCGTAAACCTGCTCCTGTACTCCCTGGAAGAGAGATGAAATGGCAGCGGTGTTACATCCTGGCCCAAGCGCATTTGTTTCTGGCTCCACAACTGGCTACTTTAGACTCCTCCAATCCTCTCTTGAGAACAATCCCAGACCTGCAACAACCGGGTTAATATGCTCTTATAGAAACCCATGATGATAATTCTCCTTGAATCTATCCAACTAGCAATTCAGTGTGAAAATAAGGTAAATTAGAGGGCAGTAAATTCTCTTCTCTTCTGCCCTTCAGCGAGCCAGCTCATCATGTACATCACACCCCTACCCATCAATCTTGAATATTTTATAGCAGGTCCCTCTGGCTGTCCAAGATTATAGAGAATAATGGCTTCATTATGGAGAAAAAGAATCAAGCTCATTTCCACAGAGCAGTTATCGTGTCTCTAGTCAGGGTAAGTTCCTTTGTTAAGATACAGGCTGCAGATTGAATTAAACTGGCAAAGATACCTAAAAAAACGATGTACCATTTATTGGGCTGAGAGTATTTGTGAAGTTTAAATTTTGTTCACATACCTTGACAGGGTCTCTGATGATTCGGATAATTCAGGCCAGTACTAGAGGCTTTCTTAATATCTTTCATTATAAATTGACCCCCCTCCAATGAAGATGATTACTGTTTTTGTCATGGAATAAATCCTAACTTTGGTATAAGTGAAATATTTGAAATTAATGCCATCTTATACATGAACGGGACATCAAATTTTACAAGGCATTCTTGGTGCCTTTGGGCCTCCCAAACACTCTGCAACTTGGATGGCATTATGGGAAGATTATCACATGAGGAAACCAAGGCCCAGGCTGTTTGGACCACTTGTCTGTGGGCCCAGAAGATGCTACAGATGTAAGTGGAACACTGACTTTTGAATGTGGATTTCCTCATTGCCATGCTGCCTCACCCTCAAGAACCTCAATCATTTTTGAAATCTAGCAACTAGTTTAAATACAAAGAAACTGAGAGAGAAAGAGAGAGAGAGAGAGAGAGA